GTGGGTGTAGGGGGGGGGGGGTGAGACTCTCCTTGGACGCGCAAGCGACCAAAGACTAAACGGATTTTACGCTTCATCAAGTGTTCTATTGCCAATAAGAGCTCACTCGTTATTCCAAGGTTGTATGGGACATTTTAAAAATCCGATTGAGAATATTGTATTGTATTCAACTTATGAGGCCAGCGATGAAAAGGAATTTGATGGCACTGGAGAGAGTTCGCGGATGGATTAGAAAAATTGCAAAGGAAGTTCGCATTGAAATTTTTTTTTTAATTCTCCGATTCTACGTCGTAATAGTAGCCGAGGAAAAAAAACGAACAAACAAAACAAAACAAAATAAAACAAATAGAACTTGATTTCCCTAATGCTCTGGGGAAAAGCCTGCCTCTTCTAGAAAATGTCAGTCAGCTTTACTTTAGGAATGTTTTTACGCTCTCCTGAAATATAGGCTAGGCCAATATAGGCCGAGGGTCTTATATTGGAAGACAGACCTTTATGCCAACTGTTTTTTTTTTTTCGTTCATGTGGGAAAAACCTATTTCCGATGGACTCCAGAAAATGTAGAGCATAATATTATAGAATCACTGCTCTTCGTGCACGAGTTGTAATTGGCATGTCTGAGGAATTCATCACAATATTAATATCTCCTTGAAAAAATGCTGCATTTTCCGCACCGACTCGTAGAAGAAACCCGAAGAAACTCCGGCCAGCCCTCGAAATCCCCTACAAGTACCCACGTAATGCGAATCAGAGGCGCGATTCCCAAAGCGGAAGTCTTTCTAATTACACTGCAGTATGCGGGGGGGAAATGAGCTACGTGATGGGCTCCTTCGCCCCCTGGCAAAAGAATTCCCCGGAAACGACGCAATTGTGTCCCAGAGGATCCACATTTTCAGGCTGCTGACGACCCCATGCCGAACGAACTGAAAGGGCAAATTGCGCTAATCATGCGATTGAATAACGGAAATTTCCTGCTCTTCTTCCTCTCCGAGAGGGAGAAAAACGAAAATAGAATCATGATCGCATTGAATGAAGCGAGGAATTTAACTCTGGGTTGGAAATGCATGGAAAAACAGGTTAAAGGAATGATACTTTCAGATAGAAACAGGCCATTATCGAGTGAACGCAAAGGGCGGAATGAGGCGGAAAACATCGAACCGAACGACCGATTCAGACTTTCAACGAAAAAATTTCGACGATAAAAGGAATGGAATTCGCTGAGACGAGAGAAAGCTTCCTTTTCGTACTTTCTTCGCGAGAAGTGATTCGGGGGTTTCCTTGGAACTGCATGACTATGTGAGAAAACGGGGAACATCGTTTCTGATCCCTTGTCGGAATCCCCTTTTCACACTCGAAACGGAGACTTTGTTGCCTTTGCTTTTTCGGACTTTTCCGAAAGATTAGTTTTAAATCCGGGGGCTTTCAGGCGAGCGACGGGTAGGTCCGCATTGGGACTCCATTCGCTAGAGACGAGTTTAACACTTTCCAGTCTGTCTGTTTACTCATCGATTACTGCTGCAGACTGGGCATTTCGGGTCAATTTCTTTTATTTCTTTGGTCGAAAACCATTTGATCGAATGACTTGACAACGGTGCAACCATCCGTGAGTGTACTGTTTATTCGGGAAGCGAGCCAAAATCTCTCGGGCGATACTTAGTGCATTTCGATGATAGCATCGCAAACGCGACGATTCGACTGGAATAAGTTCATTGGGTGCTTCCTATTCAGGTACTTAAGATCACAGAAGACATCCATAACCTGGAGCGTAGTTGATTTTCAGCCGGTTGCAGCTGGACGATAGGGAATCAGTTCAAGTAGGTGTTCCTGTTTCTTTTGTGGCTTTAAGATGCTGAGGCCTTCATGAGCAGAACGAAGGCAGCAATATAGTCAGTATAGTTCATCCAAGGGTTTTATGGGGGAATTGCCCTGATGATATACTGACGATATAGCGCTAAAGTGTATACATCGGCGCCATCTACCCATAAAACTTTTGATAAGCTAAAAATAGACGTTACTAGACAAGAGACTCTCGCAAAAAATATATGTACCAATTTTAATAATCGTGTCGAATCTTTTGCTTAGCTGACATCTCAATCCCAGCAAAAGCGAGAGCCCATGAGTAGGTTTCGTTGTTTCGTAAGAAATGCAGAGATATTTTCTTCCATTACTCCTATATTTTCTTCCAGAATAAGGTTTTGTCAATGCATTGAAAAGAGTGCCTGCACAGACCGGGGCAAAAAGTGGCATTGACGTCTCTGTCTGCCATTTCGTTCAAGATCACTGTACCATGCTCTTTTAATTATCATGACTCTTTTTTGTAGCTCTGCTCTTCCATCAGCGATGGTCAATTGATGAACTGCTCTTTTAAGTATTATGGAAGCTTTGAGCAAACCCAGCAAACAAGGTAATGCTGGATCAACGTTATATCAACGTTCCGAACGTTCATTCAATGTTGACTCAACGCTGATTCAACATTATGTGTTTCAAATTGTTTGCTGGGAAAAGGGGAACTTTACAGCGCAGCGATACACAGCGATACAAGGTGAAAAGTTCAGTATATGACACGGTGTGCAGGAATCAGAGGGAGAAACCAAATTATTCAACAATCCTCAGATATCAGAATTTCGTGGACTTTCCATCTGAAAGTCCACGAAATTCTCTTGATTTAGTCCTCTTTGGAGGAAGATACGATGAATCATTGATCAAGTGAAATGATAACAACCGTGGCAGGCTTCCGGTATCGTTGAATAGTTCTTAGGAATAGGACAAATGACACCATCAATGTGGTGTCATTTGTATCTTGCAAGGCCTACGTATCTTGCAAGGACGCTGCCTGTTCAACCTGGAGAGCGGGTGTCCTGTCACTACGGCCAACCAGTTAGTTATCTAGCACGCTAGAGACTGAAGCCTGAATGCAGAAACCTCTTGAAGTTAACGGTCCTTTAAAAATCCCTGGATTCCTTTGGAGGAAAAAAGCTTTTTATCTTAACCCTTTCCCTGGCGTCGGTGTAGTTTCACGTCAACATCCTCAAAGTGTTCGGATATCCCGGCCAGGTGAAAGGCCCTCTTAGATGAGGTTTTAGCATTTGGGCCTCGGTCCCAAATTCGTATAGGTAGCTCCATATTCTCGTGTCCAATGCAGGTGACGTCATGAGATGCATGGTACGCAACATCCGATACAGCATCGCAACCAAAGACAGAGGAGTACCCTGAAGTAAACGTTTCTAATTTCTTAGAAATTTCGACATGCAATTTGCCAGGGTTGCTTACCACACAAGAACGATCTGTTTTCATTTTTATCTGTCTACAAAATAGATATGAGTGATATATTGAGTGAAGATCGATGGGGAACGTTTACTAATGATGTTGCCAGATTTTATCATAAGCCATGGCCTAAATGAAATTCCTGCCACCATCGTTTGCCAATTCTTCACACCACGTGCGAAGAATTGGCGTGTATGCGTGTGAGCCTACTCCCAGAGAGAAGAACAAGGCGTGGATACGTATGTGTGCGCGAATGTGCAAGGTAGGGAATTCTTTTTACTTTCTTTTCAGTGAAAGTTGCCATCATGAGACAGAAGGTTATATTTTTCTTTCTGCCTTCGTAGGTATTGCCAATTTTTACAGGGAAGGAGGAAGACTCAGCAAGTCAGTTCTGAAGAAGCGATACAAGTTTTGAAAAGGCGTATTTATCTTCAGAGGGTAGGCTTGCCTCAAATGGATGAATGAATTTATGAATGAATGGTTTATTTTCCACGTTAAACAGGCTTTAAAGGGGCTCAACTATAATTCAGTTGTTCTGTGGACAGAGGAGGCGTCAAACATCAGGAAGGATGAACAACGAGTACATAGGAATAACTTTTACATTGGAAATAATTAAATGCAATTCAGATAAGGTAAAGCAAAACATAAAACTGTGCATAAGGAAATTGGAAGAGAAGAACGCAGAGGGAAGTGGGAAAGGCCACACGACCCTATACAGGAGAAGTGCTGTATATAAAGTGATGGGGAGAAAAAAATATGCGGGGCTTGTCCAGCAGGAGGGAACTAAAAAACACGAGTGCTAAGCTTTGACTTTAGGTGTCAAAATGAGCAGATGAGAGATATGCTCCTTGACGTATCAGTCCAAACATTGAACCTTTGGATATGAATGGAAATTTCTGGGTAAATAAAAGAGAACTGAAATTTCTAGAAATTTCCCCCAAGCATGGAACCAACAACAGAAGGGTGGAATCGAACATGCCTTTGGGTAACGTGGAGGCACAGGCAATAAGGCAGTGGTCAGGGTCAGTAACCAAATTCTTCTCGCGTTTTTCGCTTCTCTGCTCTTGTCACGTTACTTTTTGGCAGTATTGTAAGTGCCCCCTTCTCGTATGGAGTGGAGTAAATTCATATTATGGTCATTCATATTATGGCCTCTTCACTATACTGAAGAGGCCATAATATGAATGAAAATGAATTGAATATGAAAGTAAGGCACTAAACTTAGTTCTTGCATAATGCTAGTTTAACGTAAGTCTCTCCTGGCCTGCATTTTACTATACGCCCATATGATGACCGAAGAGCAGTCATGGGCGAAGGCATTTATCGAACCGATTGAAGCCATGTTTAACTTAGGCGTGGTGCCATGATAGGCCTAACGTTAGCTGTAACGTCAGTGAAAATATGACTAATAGGGCTAAGATTTTTATCCTAGCCTTTGGCATAGCAATACTTTCGTGATAAGCCTTGTTACACTAAAGGAGGATTTTGTATTTCTTTTGTTAGGCCAAACTGATGTTTCAAAGAGCAGAACTGGAAACACAATACATTACAATCTAGGGATGGTGACAGCAGGCTGTGGGGTGGTTAATCAACATTCAGAAAGGGACTTTTTTAAAGAATTCTACTTAGGGGAGGAGTTTTACTTGGGGGGAAGAGTATCCCTATCTCATTATTCTAACTTGGAGAAAAAGAGAACTGAATGGAACTGCCCTCTACATGAACTGTGAAGGCTGCTCTCCTTAATGATGATTGAAAGCTATTGACATTCAGAGTACAGAAATAGGAATGTTTTATAGTTTTGGGGGGAAAGCCATGGGCATCAATTATTTTAGGCCAGCAACCAAAGTTCAAGATCTGTGAGGTGACATTGAAATTGGTTTCAGCTGGCATGCTAACTCAGGAATTGCCTGACGAACATTATTATGACTCTGGCTCAGAAGTGAGGAGCTCTCAGAGCTCAAGTTGATCTCATGGATGTCAGAGTCAGAGAAGTTGAGAGTATTGCCAGACTATTGGAGGCATGTTTATGCAAAGCATGGCCTAGGATGGGTAGACTTATTCTGTCAAGAGTGACCTGGTGCAGACAGTCAACTGTCCTCAGAGTGGAGAGTTGCTTAACCGACTCTTAGCACTCTGGGCGGTCGTTCACATGAACCATGAGGGAAGGTAACCAATAATGTGATAGCTTCATATATGTGGCCTAGAAGTTGATGGAATGCTGTAATTACTGATTAGCAGTAGGACTTACCTTATGTAATTTAATGTTACACCCAATACTGGATAGGCATATTATGTCTAGGTGTGGGGTTTGACTTCACTCAGGTTTCTCTTTAAATGTTCACTTAGCTCAAGGTTTATCTAAGACTAAGTCATATACTCAGACCTAATCCTACTGGGCTACTCTCCATGGGTTGGCTAACTCTCTGCAATGAAATGCAGACAGTCAATGGGATAACTTTCTTCATGGATGGTTAACCATCCATACCTGACCAACTTTCAGCTGAACAGACCATGGCCAATGATGACATAACTTTTTGGTTTTGCATGCCACAAAGGAAAAATATCACTTACCAGGGCTGTAAGTGCCAGTTTTTAATATTCCATTTAATGTCAGTAGATTTTGGCACAGCACGTTGTTTTGGACAAGCATACCATAAGTTCACCATCATTGACCTATTATGGTCTTATTGAGCTTGGCATGGGATTTTTAGCCTGGTGAATCAATGTGACAGACACTTCATGTAACACAATCAGGAAGACCCCATTCTTATACAGGAATCATTATAGTGGAACATTAGAGGTGCTGATTTTACTAATGTTACTTAGCTTTGTCCTTTTGCACCTAGTCTTTGATGTATTATAAGTTTTTGCTCTAGCCTTGTGTTATTTTGAATCCCAGTGTTGATAATTGACCTCTGTAATATTATGTTTCTACTTGAAAGGTGCAATAGGGAAATGAGGAATTGATTTGGTGGCTTAGTGTATAAGGCTTAGGATTCTTCATACATGTGGAAACTTCAGTGAGAAAACGTGACACTGCATTTTTGTTGCAGTACTGCTTTTTATGCAAGAAATTTGGAATTGTGTCAAAAGTATTGTGCATTGTGGACCAAGTATATCATTCATTTAATTTTTTGGTAAATCTCCCTTTTGAAAGCCATGTTTGGTATTGAACACATGATGATGAGAGATCTTGAAGAAGACTTCTTTAGGTAAGTCACTCTATGTATTGCAGATTGTGGTTGATTGCCTATATGTTGTTTCTGATGATGTTGAATTACAGTTGCACTTAAAAGATCAATTTAATCCAACAAGCAATAAATCTGCATTAGCTTTGAATGTAGAGAATCTGATGTGGAAAGACCAAAAAAGGCATGCCTTAACTATTGAAGGCATTATTGGATGAAGGAAAAAATGTATTTTCTCTTGAAGGCCCTTCAGAGGTATAATGCAGGACCCTTTCTCCATGTTGGGAGGAGGACTTGGTGCCCATTTGTCAAGAGGAGCTTTGATGCCATCCATGGGAAATATGATGCTTCCCTTTGGTGGCGGATTCGGACATCTCTTCAATAATCTTACTCAAACAATGGCAAGTAGAGCTGTGATTTCTTAGCGAACAACAATCTGTATTCTTGTTATACTTACATATTTAGGCCTAGCTGTATAGACTAGTTTCTGCTGATATTCTGAATGTGCAGGGTATTAAAACATGCAGCTGTTTTATGTCTTGTTAACACCATGTACACCCTGAGTTCATTATGTGAACACCTACTATAAGCCTATTTGTAAACCTTAAATAGGGATATGTGACCACCTCTCATAGGCCTGTGAACACCTATCTTGTGTACCCCTGTACACCCAACGTGATATATTCTAGGCCTCTCCACCCATGCTTTATACTTAGTTAGTGCATGGCTATAGTCAAAGGCGAAGACTGGGCTTATAAGATGGATGTACACAGGGTGTACATGGTGTTCACAAGATGTACAATAGCCACACAAACATGCCTGTATATTACATTTGTTGTTCATTTTCTGCCCTGATGGTAAAATTCAATTTCTGCTTTTAAAGTTGAGACTTTGGTAGGAAGATCTAGTTATATGCAGGTAGGGACATGGATATTAATCATGGGCAACACATTCTCTCTCTCTCTCTTTCTCTTGTGAACATGATCAAGCATTTGTAAGTGAATTCAATGGACAAACATGACACTGTTCTGTTAATACTATAAATGCTCTGTATTTTTTCAGGAAGCCATGGCAAACAGTCCCAATGCACAAGTCTTCTCACAAACGACAATGTGTACAATGTCCTCGGATGGAACTGGACGACCCCTGGTAGAGTATCCATTTGAGTATTTCTGACTTCTATCAGTCAACTGTCCATTGTATATTCATGCAATCTGTTTATGTGCAGGGTGTGTTACCTTGTATACCTTCAGCCCTCATGAATAGGGCATACCTGGTTCTATTTGGGCCACTATGAACTTCTTGATTCAGTGATGCATGTCGTAAATCAATTTGGGTTCCTTATGTGCCTTGTATGATGGTATCACTAGGTGTATCAGGAAACAAAGTCCACTCGAAGTGGACCTGGGGGCTTGAAAGAAACAAGACATGCAGTAACTGACACAAGGGCTGGTACAAAGCGTATGGCCATTGGCCATCATCTTGGAGAAAGGGGGCATGTTGTTGAACGCACCCAGGACATGCGCAACAATCAGATTGAAGAGAATCAAGATTTCATTAACATTGAAGAAGGTTTGTTCATCTCTGTTACAGAAAACATACTCTGTGGTTGCAGTTGCTTATTATTCCTTTCGTTTTCTCAGAGGAGGCAGATCAGTTTGAGCAAGATTGGGAGTGCATGGCTCGAAGGGCTGCACCAGTGCATTCCCGACCATATGATCCTCATCGACCTGCTCTCACTTACCATCGTCAACCTCGGCAAGCTGCTCTACCTGCCCCTCCCAGGTAAGTAACACATTAAAGAAGTAAAGCTTTTTTAAACAATGGGACATTTCTCTTAGACAATGTTAAGTGATCCTTTAATGACATTGGTAAAAGGGAAATAACTAATTTTTGTGTTGAACTTGATAGTACTTGTACATGGAACGAATTCATGATTTTGCTCTTTGCTGTCTGAAATGAATCAAGTCATGATTCTATTGTAGTCTCATGACAAAGTGTGTAATCCATACTACTTTTGCATTCTGGTAGGTCATCAGATGTATATAGGCGAAGATCTCCTCTACTAGCCATCACATCAGGATCTCGGTAAAAGTTGACTTCAAACCAGAGTTAAAAGAAGAATGTAAACAAGTTGATGCAGTTTGAGTTTTCTGTTAAAGTGCATTAGGATATACTATGATTCACTGAGATATAAGAACCTTGAGATTGGTAACGAAGAAGCGTGTCATTCTCCATTTAGGAAGAGGAATACTTTCATATCTAACCAATATGAGACATATTGGTTAGATTTGAAAGCATGAACTGTGGAAAGGGTGCACTAAATGTTCACTGAGAGACTCAGGGAGATATGGAAGATGTACTGTATTAGTGGGTACCAATACGAATGAGAAATACAGGAAAATAGACCATATACTTTGCCTACTCAATACATACTACTCCTTAAGGATAATTTATATTGCATCAACCTGTTTATGATCTTTGTTAGCTCTGAATTTCATCTGATGTGAACTAATAATATCTAACTGGAAAGGGAATGTTTACTAATCTCTAATGTATTGGCCTCTTAGAGGTTCTTTCATTCTAATAATTGCTTATTTGCTTTGACTGATGCTCACAACCATAGGATTTGATTAGTATTTTGTTCAGAAATTTTTTTTATACAGAAATATATATATTGGCCCTTTTTTTATTTCCTTTACTGAACACAAAAATGCAATTACTATTAAAATATGAACACCCTGAAAATATGGGTGAATGCCTATGTGTATCCTCCAAGTGACTAAAAATAAGTCAAGTTTACATGGCACCAGATGGAATATCTTATGAAAACATTATCAAGAAATGTGCAGGATGTCACATCAATTGTTTAGGGTAGAATTGGTAAAATTCCAGGACTTTTTCTGGATTCATTCAATTTTTGGTCATCTGTGTTTCAGGTGATGGTCCTATTTGACTTTCCTGGATTAGGCCAACCCCTCAGGTCTTCAGTTATGGGCTATTGATCTGAAAAACATAAAAATGTCAAAATTACGCTTCTAATTGATATCATCAGTCTCTTGGTCCATTCTTTACATTCCTTGTTTGCACTGTTTGGTTTTTAGATGATCTTAATGCACTTAAAAAAATTTGTGATTACTGAATGTCATAGGGTCTGTTGGCACCTCATATCATCTTTAAGCATCATATGCACAAAAGCAAGTTGCCTTATCCACAAAAGTCTGGTATTTCTAAGACAGGGCTAGAAGGAGGTCCTTTATTATAGGCTTCTCCACTTGAAAGGATCTCATTTCCTGTTGGTATCTGGGATGTTTGTCTTGTCTCCCCATTCCTTTCTTACAAAAGTCAGGGAGTGGATCCAAGAAGTTCAAACCATTGACAAATGGAGCATTCAGGATATTTAGGGATAGGTATTCCTTAATTCCTTAGGAAGTGGAAAGTTTGCTTTGTGCTAATAGGCCTAGTCCTATTGCTCAAGCTTTCAGAGATTTATAGCAAAATTAATAGAACAAATTATAATCCATAGTCTGTCATTTGCTTTTATCTCTTCCAGTGTTGGTATGACAGCTTGAAACAGATCAGCTTGATGTAAACTAATTGCACCCATCCCTGTGTACTTGGCCAACTCAGTTCCTAATGTGCACTTGTTGATTAGAGCTACCTAAGAGCTACCCCTTTGTGCTTGTCTAATCCTCCTTTTTGAGATTTAATGAGCTTTGCTTTGAAGCAACATTGGCTTAGCTCAGACTTGCACATCCTCAAGCTGCAGCTGCTCCATGAAAATATCAAAAGCAAATTTCAGTGTCAGCTTTGATTGTAATATTTTTTCATGTTGACAAAGATAGACTACAGCCTTTGACCAAGAAGTAGGAGGTGTGACTCAATGGTTAATGAAGATTAGGCTACCCTGACTCACTGCTAAACTTTAGATTGAACTCCTAGAAAATACATGGAAATCATAGTCTTAGTTCAGCCTGGAGCACTATTGCTAAAATGTTCCTGAAGGCAACCCAAGTTGAATTTGGATCAGTTTTGGGAAAGATGTAAAATAATAAAAAAAAGTTTTAAAGTGAATCCTGATATGTCATGGAATTCCTTCTGAGGATATACATCTGCCTTAATTATTTTCAGTTCCATCACTCTTGTAGTTTTAGATACCCCCATTTTGAGTAGAACTGTATGTATATGCCAAAATCACCTGCTTCAAGGGAACCAACAGTATATCCTTAAGGGTCTATTTTGGCTGATGCCTTCGGTGCTTATTTGCTTTATGTTTACTATGCAGACCTTTTTTCATAAAGTTTTTCATATATGCTTTGATCTGTGCATATTCTATCTTACCCTCATCTTGGCAGCTAACAACCTGACAAATTGGATGAATCATGTCTCATAAATATGGGGGATCATTCAGAAATTCACTTTTTTTTCTGTAATAATAATGGTAGACCAGGACTTCTTTTTTCTCTCAAAAGGCCCTTTATTCAAGGTTTCTCAACATAATGCCCATCAACTTCACTGCCCTTTTTGAGCCTGAAGATCCAGGCATCGAAACACCTCCAAAATAAGTATTTTCCCAGCCTTTTCAGCTCCTTGTTCACTGAGCTCTTCGCTCAAACAAACGTCCTTCTGCACAATTTTTCCTGAATTGTGGCCTCGGTGCCTTTGGAAGAGCATCAGACGGTGACATTGGAGTGGTACACAAATGTCTGTCTGCCAAAAATTTTTGTTAACCTCCTCAGAGGTCGTCCCAAGACGGAGCTCTGCAGGCATTTCCTCCACCATGATGATGCCCTGACTCACTGGGCCCATTGCATGGAGGACTTTCTAGCTGAGCAGGGGATTCAAGTTTTCAATCCACCGCCATATTCCTCTGATCTCGCCCCTTGTGACTTTTGGTTATTCCCAAAAATTAAGGAAAAATTGTGCAGAAGAGTGTTTGACAGGTGCAAAGAGCTTGAGGCAGCAGTGAACAAGGAGCTGAAAAAGGCTGGGAAAATACTTATTTCGGAGGTGTTTCGATGCCTAGATCTCCAGGCTCAAAAAGTGCATTAAAGTTGATGGGGATTATATTGAGAAATCTTGAATAGAGGGCCTTTTGAGAGAAAAGAGGTCTACTGTTATTATTGCAGAAAAAAAAGGGCACATTTTTTAATGAACCCTCATGCAGTGGTCTTATTGATCACTTTACAGTGACAATGGAGATTATAGTTATTATTATATTTTTTTGTTATATTGATATAACAGAGATGAGACTGAGGTGGAAGAAGAGGCAGTTCCAAGTGACTCCAGCTTGAGAGCCACCAATAGTCGGTAAGTTCGTGAAGGTACTGAACTTTCAAGCCCAAGAGTCATCTTGGGTATCAACAGGTACTAACATCCACAGTGAAATTTATAGTATCCTATTTGCCTGATTTTAAGTCTTGGTGCTCTGATTACAATTATTGGCTCTCTCAATAAAGCTGTTAAGGAACTGCTGTTACAATAATATGTTTGGGACATGATAACATTTGGGTTTGTGCTACAGAGAGCGAGAGCGTGAGAGGGAACGAGAGCGACGACTTCATCGCACCCGAAAACATCAACATCAACATCATCATGGTCACTCTCATCATCATAACTGATGAATGGTCCATGGAAAAAGTAGATGTTGCTTCTGGGAAGCTGATCTGGAAAGAAAAGAAAAGAAAGGAAAAATTGCTGCCACTGAAAACTCTTCTTGTGACTGCCGAATTCCAAAGTGAAATTCATTAGATTAGTTATATTTCCATCTCTGTCATGTGCCCTCCTCATTTCTTTAGAGGTGCTTAGGAAATTATTTTTTTGTTCATGTCAACAAGCCTCATTTTTATTTTGGAGAAACAAATCTCACAAACTACTCTTCCAAATTTTCCCAAGCAAAAACAGCTGAATCTAGATTGATCAGTTTTGTGTTTTAAATTACTCCTTGCCCCATTGCCTTCTTCTGTGAAGCTCATGTTGAACTTATAGCACTCAAAAGCAGTGAGATCTTCCCAGGACACTTTCCCCCACATACCAATAAACAAGAGCCCTCTTCCTTTTATCCATGAGGTTTTCTTCTTGTGGTTATCGGAAAATTATTCTCGGGGTGTCTCTTCTCCATTCTGTTTTTATTATTCTCTTTCCCCGCCTATGTAGGCATATCTATATTGACCTAAATGGACTGGGGATTGTATTGTATTTATTCATTGATGTTTTTTGACAGAGATGGAACTGGATCCTCATGGGGGCTTATGTACTTTGGTCCTGTATAGGTTGTAAGAGTAAATCTGGTTCCTCCTCATGTGATGTTGCTGTTTTTCTCCTCTTCCCATGTGATACCCAAGTCTCATCTGGGATGATGGCTTTATCCATTTGGGATAACTTGGGTCTCATGTACCCTTGGTAGGCAGACCTGGAGTTTGAAATGGTGGACAGAATATGTCTTGATGGAAAATGCCGTAATATGAATCCTCTGGCAGGGATTCACATTATGGCAGCTAATATTCATGCAGAGACCCTGAATATTAGTAGTGAAGGTGAAAACTTGGGGTGAAGATGTATGCACCACTCAGAGTAGTACCTTTTTTTTTTTAAAGACATTGATGGCTGAATTAGTAGCTTCTGGACAAATAAAAAAAAAAAATTGGAATAAGGCGTTTTCATGGAAGGATGTGAAGATGTTGCATGTTTCATATTTTGCTATTCAGAGCTATTCAGCAAATGGAATTTCAATGAAGTTGTTGGATGAAAAATCAGATTTTGGAATCAGTTCAGCACTTGCTGGAAATTTGCTAGATTTCTCCATCAATGAACTCAAGTTGTGAACTTTAGGCTGTCATTACTTGATTTATATTTAAAAAGATCTTTGAACATGGGTGTATTCTTCTAATCAAGCCTTTTCAAGACTGAATTGTTTACCTTGACCAGTGAAAGAGGATCTAATATTTTTTGAAGTAGAAAATCCAAACCCAAGCCGTTGAAGTTCTAATCTGCCCATTGATTCAGGGACAAGTCTATAAACAGCTTATTTAATCCATAAATTGAAGTTATTACGGCATGGCATGGTTAGATATTTTTCTCAGCAGCCAATTTCATTGCATCTTTTTTTCACCCACTGGAAGGTGAAGAAGTATGAGGAATGGGTATGTTATGTACCTTATTGTTTTGAAAAATACACCAAAGTTTTCCTTTTGAAAGTGATGCAAAGAATGAACTTATGTCCTACAGAGCATAGTGCTTGATCAACCACTTCAATATTTTCCATGGTGCATGGGGCCAAATGGTATGTTGCATAATGGATGCAGAATACTCAGCTTAGTGATAATAGAGTATTGATTCCATGTGATGTTGATGCATTATGATCATATCCATAATTTCTTCTTTCTTTCATTGAATGGCAGAGTAGCTAATTCCAGAATCTACCATACAGGGTGATTCAAAATTATGCATAAACACTTTGAGTTGTATCTTAAAAAGTTTATTGCTTAAACACAAACCAAAAATATTTTTACATGCATTAGATATGTGGAAATGGTCAGGTATTCAAAATGTCCACCACTGGCACGCATACACAAACAACATCATTTCTTAAAAGCCCGACATACAGTGGTACACTTTTCAACTGTGATTTTACATGATTCCTGTTGTATCATGTCCCACAAATTCTGCACTGTTTCAGGTTTACAACAGTACACTTTGTCTTTGAGGTATCCGCGCACAAAGAAATCTAGAGGGCCGAGGATTCTGAGATCAAGCGGGGTATTCATGGGGGCTCCATTGACTACCTTTCACTTACCTTTCAGGAAATTCAGTATCCATGTGATACTGATGATGTCTATGTGAAAGTGGTGGTACACCATCCTGCTGAAAGTACACCACTGTGTCCAGAAATGTGTTTCTTATCGCAGGAACTGTATCATTCATTAACAATTCAAGATAACTTTACCCAATAACAGTACCACTGAATCTGTAAGGTTCGATTATCCCACAAGAGCTGAGTCCCATCCACACAGTAATCCCTGGCCTGGCCCCCCACAGTGAAAACCCAACATGTCTCTACAGAAAGATGTTAATTTGCCAGTGGTGGACATTTTGAGCATCTGACCCAACTTTTTCTGTGCATCACATTTCCACATATCTAATGCATGTAACACTAATTTTGGTTTGTGTTTAATCAATAAACTTTTTGAGATCCAGCAACTCAAGAGTGTTCATACATAATTCTGACTCAACCTGTATGTGAATTGTCCAAGATTTTAGACTCCCAAGGAATTTTTAAATTCCATAAAAGTGATGTTACATGAATATTGTGTTCCATCAGTACTGAATGTCTGCATTTGCTCAGTTTAGAATTTGAAGGTTTTGGTTGTAAGTTGCTGGTTGAGTGAAAGGCTTTCATTTTTTATCATCAAATACAGGCATATATATTAAAAAAAAATCCAGTTTCTAATGGATTTGAATGTGAAGTGTGAATACAATGAATATGATACTGGGAATGAAAGCAATACCCCATTTCCGCAAGTGGAAGTGAAGCAGGAAGGTGGTGAATGCCAGGAAGCAGAATGTAGACAGCGAAATCAATTCTCTTGTTCTTCCTCTGAAGATGAAGACAATAGGCAAAACATCTATAAGTATCAGAATTCTTTGTATTCTCTCCTCTCAAATCTGTCATCAGATCCAAGTAGTATCCCTACTTCTTCTGCTGATGAAACTGAAGTCTCCCATCTCCCTTGGTCTGCTGGTATGTCATGAATATTGTTTTATTGTTCATTTTCATACCTCCTAGCATCAAAGAATAATTCCAATGGCAGATTTTCAAGAGGCCTTCATTTAATGGGATATTTCTATATCTCTTTATCATACTGTCTCAACTAATCAAATGGAAGGATGCTATCCTGTTTAAATGATCCAACTTGCTTTCTATTCCAGTCAACATTGCTGGTTGCCCTGCCTCTGTTAATTCAGACTTAAATGCTAAGGCTCGAGTGTACAAACCTCATTTAGGATAGATAAAGGGACCTTTAAGCTAAAGAGATTCTTTTTTTTCCCATAGGAATCCATGCACTCTTAAAGGACCGTTAACTACAGGAGGTTTCAGCATTTGGGCCTTTGTCTGACTTTGGGAGCTTGTCTTGAATTTTTACCACTTGCACTGGCCTTGACTAAGTATAAGTCAGACTGTCTAATCTCAGCCACATGAAGCATGTCTGAGCTGGTTAAAGTCTGACATCTAACAGTCATTCAATCGTTTCTTATGGACTTGTCATGATGGCTAGCTTAACTGGCTACCAGGAGAGGAAGATATTCTGAAGGAGATGATTTGAGAATGATTTCATTTTAATGAGTAGTTTAGTGATTTCCAAGTGAAGAAAATGGAAATATGAAAGCAAATGAATTTCTGTGTTGACTGTTTCTGGTTCAGCATTTGAATACCTAGTCTCTTGGTTCATTCTGAGTCCTTCTGGTTTAAGTCTGCCATGGGTTGCATTTTCTTTGCATGTGAGGCACTTCATAGCTTTGCTGGAGATGGTGTGCAAGTGCAAAAGTGCTTCAACCACAGTCCATTCAGTTAAAAGTTTGGTTTTCTGGTTTTTTATTTCAACTTTAAATCTCACATTCTATAGTTTCAAGAGACAACCATGATAATAATTGAGAGTTTATGTTGGGAATCATGGTGTACTTCTGCAGCATAGGATTGGCCCACTTACGAGGAGAAGGCCTGCTTTACATCTTCAGCCATAGCATCCCCAGCATCCTTGATTTTGCTTTGGGATGTGTTGGATTTGGCTAATATAATTTATCTCATCCCTTGAATGTTTTTGGTGAAGAGAGGCAGTTGATTGATGGTCATGCAACCATGGTACTCAAGTTTCACTATACCAAAATCCTCTAAGATCTTCCCATTTACTGGAAAAGTCCAAAAGTCTTATAATGTATGAAGTCAAACTTTCTTTTGTGTGAAAGGCAGATTAAGATTAGACAGTCAGTGCAACTGAGGTTCAAGTCAGACATGGCCACATCAGGTTTCTTGAGAAGTCAGACTTGATGAGTTTGACTGAAATAAAAGCAGAGTTACTTACCCCTGTTCTGTTCAGTGATCAGTGAATTTTATTTTGAATCCAAAATCTAGAATCATTATCATGAATTATTCAAATTTTATGTATTGAAATTTGAAATTAAATCAAGAATCACAAATCTTAGGTGAATTTTAAATTTCATTGAAAATTCCAAATGATTGAGTGAGTCAAGCATTTTTGTTTCATGTGCCAAGACCTAGTTCTGAGATATGAGTGTGTTGTCAATAAATATTTACAATTGTGATTTGAATCACACCAAGAATCTGGTATCTTTCAAAAATCCAGTTCAGATTGAATTCTTATTCAGCCTTGATTCATATTTGTCCATGGCTGCTTCTGTTCAGGCTCTGTGTTCATGAATTTTTAAATTTATGTGCTTTTTCTCTTCCTTTCAGTGATAGACCCTGGAGCATTCCGTAAGGAAACAGCCAAGAAGGAAGAAAAGAAAAAAGAGGGTCCTGTATACTGTGAAGTCAGTTCAAGGCAGACAGCTTTCTCCAAATCCTTATTACTTGGAGTAGGCAAATTTGAAATTGAATCAATTTTTGGATTCTATTGCAGATTTGCAACATTGAAGTGACAAGCCGGCTCACATATGAGAAGCACATTGAAGGTGCCAAGCACATGAAGGTAAAGTATCATGAATATGACTAAGCATTTTCTAGAATTTGTTCATAATTGAGACTTTGTTGGTGTTAAGAAATTGATGACACTGGAGAAGCAGAACATGGAGAGCCTGGGAGTGAGCAAAGAGGTTGCTCCTGTCTCAGTGGAGGCTCTGTCTGCATCCCACGAAACAGCTTCAGATCACCCTTCAGATGACCTTCATACCCTCATCCAAGAGGCTGAAGAGCCTGTTATTGGTATTATGGGTGCTTGAATCATTAGGCCTATGCATGAATTGGATATTTGGTGTATCTAGTAAGTGATTTTACTTAAATTTGGCCATCAAACAGGTCTGAATCGATTAGAGGAGTATGTTAAAGGTGAGACCTGTCAGTATCGTTGCAACCTATGTAGCTTTGGAGGGTCTACAGAGGTCATCTTCCGTCACCTCTTGGGACCAAAGCATCGTGCTGCCTACATTGTAAGCTTGTCATCTTGTGATTCATAGTGATAGGAATTTATATCATTGCTGCTTAACCAGCAGTCACTTAAATTTATCATATCAATATGGTTTCCAGAGGGAAGTGATGGGTAGAACAGGGCTGAAAAAGAATGAAATCTTTCAACTTTCTGAGGAGATAGAGCACCAAGAAGGGAGAGAGTTCAAATTACGGAGCTTCAAAGGTGAGAATGCCTTGTAAGGAATCTGTTTGCCTCACCAATTATTTTCCTTTAAAGCTATGTTTCTGGCTTGATTCAGGTCCAGTTGAGCCCTCAGAGGAAGACTCCCAGGAAGAGGCAGCATCACATTCTGATGATCAGTGAGTGCCATGGTTCAGGAAGACCTCAAAATACTGAAAATTTTCTTCATTCTCTTTCCTTGTTTTTGATGTATAGGCACTCTTCCAAGGAACAGCACCATACTGACGCTGCTCCAGTGGACATCCTTTCCTTCCCACATCTTGCATTCCTTAGAAAGCTAGTTGGGTTTTTTCACTCTCTCATTAGTCACTCATTTTCTATTGATTTAATGTCATTAAGTCCCTGGTCTCTGTTACAGACGTCCTATAACATCAATAGTGAGAAGGATGTACACTTGGCTGTGAGCCTGGCTCTCCCACTTTCAAAAGCCATGCTGGATTATGTGGAGAGGACTCAACCCATTGAGACTGTGGAGGTGAGAAAATGTGAAAAGACAGCCAGAGACTTGCATTGCTTCAACTATTTCAGTAACAGTAAGAACCAAAATACTCTTTGACATTGTGCCATTGCCTTATTGCGATGTGGCTGTGAAATAAGAACAGAAAAGTCAAAGATCAGGAAGAGTTTACTCTTGTTGGCATAGAATCTCTGATTTAAATCACATGCCAATTGGATTAAATCACTAATTGGATTGCCACATGATAAAGGCAGCAGTTAATGCTGCTGCTTTGATGTTGCACTTGCATTTTGGTTTCTTAATTTTCAAGTTGTAAGAATTTATGTATTTTCTGAATTGGAAGCATCCTTGTATGATGAATACCAGGTAAACTATTGCCCTCAAGCTTCTTCATAAGTACAGGTCCTGAAGTGAAAGCTGTGTAAAATTATGTGTTTACTGTAGTAAATTGAAACTGAGGTAGGCCTAAATGCTGTTTTTATGGTCAGTAACGGAAGTGAAAACTCTGTAATATAGTACAGTAAAGCCTTATGTTTCTGCAACTCTTTGGTATCCGAAATGCTGAAAAATAAGCCAAGGTTGTATGGTATTCAAAATACTGAAAAATAAGCCAAGGAAAGAAAAAAACCAAGAAAAAACACCTTAGTTTTGTAGCTGTTTTCTGCATTATTTTTACAATTTGCTAATAATGGAAACTGCCTTATAAGACCTTGTATTGTTACAAGTTGGGCAGTTGAAGTTGTCAATTGCAAATTAGTTGATGGAATGTCAGATCCCTCTGTGGAACCTGGAAATCACATGCAAAACTTTGTATATATCTTAATAATCTCAAAACAATGAGATTGAAATTTTGCTGTCTATGGGGTATTTCCATTTTTCCCAGAGTTCAGGGGGCCATATTTTGCTTTTCCCAGATCTGATTAAACCTATTCTTTTTTATGGAGTTCTTAGTTTGACTGCAATTGCAGAAAATTTTAATTATGAAATCCAAGATGGTTGAGCACACTGCCTGGTTGTATGGAATGATCCATAGTGCCCCCAGAAATTCCCATAGGAAAGTAATGCTGCTTTTTCTCATAATTTTGCCAGTTGTACATTACATTTTGCTCACAACCCTGTTGAATTTATTCCAACTATGCCTAATATCTGCTTTTAGCTGGAAAGGGAGAATGAGACCTAGAGGATGTACCTGAGTAATTTAAGGAAGGCTTATGAGACTTGATATTTTGTTAGGCATGGAAAGGGGTTCACGAACGAGTGGAGAAGCTGAGTCGGACACAGTGGGTTGAAGGGAAGATCCAGTTAGAGCCAGAACTACCTCTGGTGACACAAGTTTCTTCTGTGAGTCTCTCATGTGGAATTTAGTTGCCCAGAAGGAAATACATTTCTTGATGATATTGTCTTGTGACAGCCAGCTGTGAGAGATGCTCTTCCCACTCCCCTTCTTCCTCTCTGGCAGGCTCCTCTACCCATTGTCAAGCATGGGCCTATCACTTCCATATCAAAGCTCAAGGAAAGACCCAAGGTACATCTTTCATTTGAATTGGTTCTCATTCATTACTAGTTCTATCTCTCTCTTTTTGCATTTATACTCTGACAGTTAGCAAGCATTGTGGACTTTTGCAGTTTAGAGCTATACTTTAATGCAATATGTGCTTCTATGTTTGTCATAGATGTTCATGGATCAATTCTTATAGTTCCACTGATTGCAGTGCAGTTGCTATTGTGCCATTGAATATTATCATGCTTAGAATGTAGGACTGTGTATTAAATAATCATAACATATGACCCTTTGGTCTATTTTTGTCACTTTGATCCACAGGAAGAGAAGCTAAAAAAAGACAAGAAGGAGAAGAAGAAAAAGAGGAAAAGCAAAGAAAAGGAGCGAGATAGGGGAAAGGAGGGAGAGAAAGACAAGGGAGGATCAGCATCACCTTGTAATGTCTCAACATATACCCTAGGAAGTGTTTCGCATCCACCAAACTTAAGAGATGTTGGGAAGGTAGTATGTTTCTAACTTTTTTCACAATAATTGTTTATGATAGGTATAACTGAACACTTTTTTCCCACAGGGAGAGAGACCCCTGACACCATATCATCTGATCCCTCCAGAGCAGACAGCAAGGGAGACACAGGAAATGTACTGCTCTGATGAGATGCCTGAAACAAAGGTTTATTATGAGTCAGAACAGTCTACGGCTCTCAATCTGTCCCACTCCAGGAATCAGAGTCCTGAGGAATATATGCAAGACCTAGCTAACTCATTGGGCAAAAAGAAGCTAGTTCCGTCCTGATCCTAGTTTTTTTCCTTGTTGCCTTTTTCATGTTCATCTGCCATGTTGGTAAATTTTCGTGAAGTGCATGTTATTGAATAAATTGTTAAAATTGTTTATAAATGGGAAGTTTTGTACTTTTTTACCTTTTGGAAGTGATGTGGAGGAGTGAGCAGAGACCGACTCTGTGACTCTGTTGGAAGAGTTTCTATCCTTCCACCTTGGCTCACACTTTCTTTCATAAATCACATTCTTTCTATCAGTTTTGCATGATGCGCAAAGAAAGATTTTATAGATCTGTTTTTGGTTATGAATTGACAGTGCTGTGTGTCGGATGCTCCAAGTGCGGCTCGCATGGGGATTTTTGAAAATGGCAAAATATGTCATACTGGAGAGAAAATACTGTGGTACAACCAAGGGGGGTTTTAGGGAGCTTGAAATCCCTCACCGAAGGCCTAGGCCCTAGGCAGAGGCACACACGAGAGGGGATCCTTCCTGCGAGGTAGCAGTCATAGGACGACCTATCAATAAGTTCCCTAACTTATATTTTTTTTATTGAGAATAATCATTCCCCTCGTGGTCTCCTTTGTGAATGGTATATATGGGTTCAAGAGGCAAGAGGGTCAGATTAGCAGAAAGGGGTTGCCAAGGTCCGTGTGTGGTGGGATTGTTGAGCGAAAAGATCCCTCAGCGGGAGCGCCAAACAGTTTAAAAGGCTGGCAGGCCCCGCGTGAAACAAAGTTGCAGGCCTTTTTCTGTAACCACCTTAAACACTGCCGTTGTGGTTGCTTACACCGACGTCAGCGGAACGGCAACCCTTCAAGTGAAACTTAAAGCGCGAAAGAGAATGATTCCACGGCATTAAACCCGGTGAGTATGTGGTGGGTGGGAAAGGACAATTCGTGTTTATCGAGGCACGTCGCCTCGGTGATGGATGTGTGAACTGGAGGACTGTTGAACTGAACCAGTCAATCTCCAAAGGCAGTCGTCATTTCCGACGATTGACATCGTGTAAGCGTTGGAGGATTTCTCGATGGAAGAGGTCCTGGTCTTGCGATTCACCCCTTTCTTAAATGTTCTCCGCTCAAAGAAGAAAGAATAAGTAAATAGTTTGGGAAAGAGGAGTGAATGAAAAGAAAACCTCGAAGAAGGAGCTTGGCAGGCGCCTCCAAATCTTGATAGCACATCTTCCATCTTGGAGATGAATCTGGAAGTAAGTCTTACATGCGAACAAAAGAGAGTTCTACTGATGGATATCGTCTTATGTGGATTTCTTCACCCGGAAAACGTGTTGTACACTCAATGTTGTATGTACATACAGGATTGTTAAAAAGAAGCCACTCTACTTCGGTTATAACATTTGAAGGGATCGTCAAATGCAGTTGAAGTTTGACAGAATGATGGGCCTACAATTTTTTTTTTTCCCGCCCGACAGATGAGGGTGCATGTTGATAAAGGATGCTGTGGTCGCATGTGCTGTAAAGAAGTTGAGTAGATGGTAACATTGTAGGAATAGCGTTTAAAATGTTTGCCATTCATTTCCACAATCTCATGTCTTCTTCAGTGGCTGCTCATGATATTTAGCGCTAGTGATTCGTCTATGAAGAAGGGGTAGGCAGCGCCCTCCCCTACATCCAAAAGACAAACCACTAGCGCAAAATATCACGAGCCGCCACTGATCCTCTTATACTCTTCATGGCAGGCTAAGTGCGAGCAATCACAGTTGTCGAGTTTCCATTTTTGTGATAGTGCCAAATTAATGCGACGCGTTGCTGCACTGCGATATTTGACATGTTGCCCTTAGTGCTGGGAATGCCAAAGTACCTCTCTATTTATACACTTTCTTCTATGTTTACAGTGCGCGTCAAAATTAACGTACCGGGGTTTTCTCTTTAACGTCTCTCGTTGAATGAGAACCTTTTATTTCATTAGGAAGCACATATAGAACCCTGATCTCAATACAGGGCAAAATTGCCTTTCGCTTCGACTGCAGCACGTAATCGGCCTGGAATGGAGTCTACCAATTTTTGTTGCTAACTCTTCGCTCCGACTCCCCCACACCTCCTTGATTATTGCTCGTAAACTACTCATTGTTCTGGGGTGCCGATACGCCACTTTGGCCTTTAAGAGTGCCCAGACATTTTATGCGGGGTTGAGGTCGAGAGACTGCGACGGACAGTCAAAAGGGGACACCCCATACTCGACCTTCCGATTCGTCGACTGCTTTGAGGTGTGCTTCGGATCATTGTCCTCCTGCAGCACCCAGGAGTTCCTTGAATCAGGAAACATGGTAGCTACAGAAGGCAAGAGGGCACGCTCATAAATGATATTCAGCAGATTTGCATCCAGGTTCTGGGTGAAGGTGGAGATCTTCCCAAACCCTCCAGCAGAGAAGCAGTGCCAAACGCGCGTCTTACATGGGTATTTGACAGTCCGAGCCATCAAGCTTTACCCTCCACCATTCCCATCTCTCGATATCTTTTAAGCCAACCGGCCTTCGCTGGCTTTGAGATCCTTATATACTTCGCGATAGCGGCAGAAGAGAGCTTCGGACTCATGGGACGATAGTCAAGAAGTCAATCTCGTAGCGATCCTTCTCTGAAAGTGGCATTTTTCCTCAAGCCGAAATAAACATCGGCGTAATTGGGATGCAACAAAATATAGTCCCCCCATTTTTAGGCGGATCGGCACCCACGGGCAACTGTCTTATGCAATACCTTTGAGCCGCGTCAGTTCCATATTTTTCGAAAAAACCCTGGTACGTTAATTTTGACGACCACTATACCTTTGCGTTTGCGACAACAACGCCCCATATCGACATATGCCGCCATCCGGAGGATATGGAGAAAAACCTTATGGGCTCATCAACCTACCTGTCAAACATGAGTTGCATCCGAATGCCCCTTCAAAAGATAGGACCACAGTTGGTTGGTTTCTTTATAAGAACCTTTTACTTTGGATATTGTTATGGTTTTCCTCGATTTGTTGGGCACGGAGAGATCCAAAGACCCCCGGAGATTCAAGGTGCTTGAGGTCGAAAGGAGGCCATCAGTGGCTATTTTTAAATTAGAGTCCATCAAGTGCAATCCTTGTCTGCTGGAACTATGCTGGACTTCCCCCACGTGTGTGTCCATATGAAAGGGGGGAGGGGAGGGGGGGTAGACAGGAAGCACAGCTGAGTGATGAAACGGAAATGAGACCTTCAACTCTCGTCTGCAGTGTGCTGTCGTTCACTATCGCTGCGAGGATTGCATTTCAAGGACGCATCTACGCTCACCCTCATTCCGCATTCCATTCTTCCCTCTACTACAGGATCAGAGTAGTGTGTGAGTGTGAATCGTGATAAAGTGATCATGGAGAGGAGATTGGTGGCACCGTTGAGGAAGAATCCCAGAACCACGTTAGAACGGATCGAGAAGGCCATCACGAAGAATCTCTTCAAAGATACCAATCTCTATGGCCGTCTCTATCTGAAGACTAAGCCTGTCACCGGTAGGTTTTTCATTTATTGCTTCTCCTCCTGCTCTTTCCGTACAATATTTAATGCAGTTCATGAATACTTCTTGACGGACGTCCCACTTGCGAACATTTTCACATTTCTTTTTGTAGTTATCCTTTTATGAGAGTGTGTAGGCCTTTATATGCTTTAAATTCGCATTTTCATGGCTTTTTTTTTCTTTTAGAGTTGTACCACTGGTCACCGGAGGAGAGGAAGCAATCATGGTTGAAGATCCCCAAGCCGTGGACGTGGGACTGCCCATGGACTCCCGTGGAAATCGGACATTCCTTCGGCCCCACCTGGTCCACTCACTGGTTCAAGGTGGATCATGGATGTCCTACCGTTTTCGTGACTCTCTCGAGTCGGAATCGCGGTCACTTCTTCCTCGTCCAAATGTATATCCTGAGGGAAGACGATCGGTGGTTATGGTAGGTGGTGGTGGAGATCCCGGAGGAATGGAAGGGCGAGGAGGTGCATCTGTGTTGGGATTCCGGTTCCGAGGCTCTTCTCTTCTCATCTGAAGGCTTTCCACTCCAGGTTCCTCTCCCTTTTCTTAACACCGATCCGGCCATCATCACACGCTGGTTCATGTATATACTCCATCTTTGATTTTATTTCGAGAAGCAGAAACGTGAAACACCGGGCCGCGTGTGGGAACGTGCATTCTCTGATATTAAGCAAGAAACCTGTGGGTAATAGATGAATGTTGCATATGTCACTGTCATGATGCATCGCGCTTCTTGTGCAGAGAACAGGGCCTTAGCCTTGAATTATTGTGCCTACTGGTACCAAGGTTGCTCTGTGCCGTAAGCGAGGCTGTCTGCATTATCGAGGAAAGAGTTGAACCCTTTTCTTGCCTGGAAATAGAACGACAGGAAAAGATCGGGGGGGGGGGGGGGGCGGGATAGTGGCCGACATCACAGACTTCAAGTACTTGAGTTTGGGGGAGTATTGCCAAACCCCTGCTGGACTGGACTGTACTACCTCGTATGCGTAACATCTCCGTATCGTTCAAAGTAGGAAGTGGTTATGCACCCGGAAGATGTACATCATCGGGTTCTCGGCCTTCGCCATTTGCATCGACTTGGGGATTCTGCCTTCCCCTGAATCTTCCAAAATTCCGCATGTACTCGCACCTGCGCTGGGTATTTGGTCCAATGAGATCCTCTTTATGCTGCAATTCGAAATTGGCCACCTATGAGTAGACGCATGTGTCTCTAAGCTATTAACACGTGCGTACCGTATAGCCTTGTCCACGTAATCTTTATGAGTGGGCGGGGCGTCACGTACTACGCACTGATTGGTATCTAGGACTGGAAGGACTACCCCCCCCCCCCGTCCCGCTCCATCGTCGTTCATCTGCGGATATTCAGTTTCGTAGCAATCGAACAAAACCACACGAAGAGCATTCTGGCCAGGGCTACTGTGCTTCTTGGCAGAAGTATGCTGTACAGCCTCGTGATAGGAGCCCCCGAGGAACCATCCCACACAAGATCAATTCCTGGCTTCTGAACGCGAATCTTTACAGCATAAAGTTATTTTCTGTTTTTTTTTAATTCCCCATTTCAGCATGGTTTCTCGTTAATTTCTTTTTTGCACTGATAATCGGCCAAAATTTTCCATTCCGATTCAATCAGGACAGTTTAATCGATTGATTAACGATGGAAAATATCTAAGAGATCAGAGTTTTTTTAATTGAATGACATCCTGCGATCATTATAGTGCACATAACTCAGTATCGTCCAAACCCGTTCAATAGATCTTTAGTTTCACTTTTTTGACGCCGAACAGATTGTGATATTGAAATATTATTCAGTCACCCCAGATTGAACCATTTTTCTAGTGATGTCGGTATATATTTTTTCTTGATTAATTGCTATTAAAACGTTAACCTATCATTTTTCGAAGTTGGGTACAAAAGTATTCACGAAATTAAGCAAGGAACGAGGCAGAATAGCCCAAGGAGAACCCCAAGCAATAAACTGTTGTTTTATATTGCAAATTTTAGGTATAACGACGTGAGAGAAATATTTTTGTATGTTCATACATTTGTATGGAAAGAAAATTGACACATTATGAAGTCCATGGAAGGTTTTAAAATGGGCTTCTTTAGGAAGTGGAACCTTCAGCCTAAAGATACCTGGAAAAGGCTGACTTATGTCCTTATAGAAGCCCATGAGGTGACATTCCGTGGAAATTGATGTACCGATAATTTTCCCAGCGATTTTGGATTATTTATTTTTGTGCGATTGAATCGTCAGGGCCTCTCAAGCCAGCACCGGGACCGTAGGCACTACGTGATGAGTAAGAATCACGATCCCTCGGCTGGATACAGGCGAGAATACTACATCGAAATGGCGTGCAATGGGGACTTCGGGGCAGGGGCATTCCAAATCGGTGAGCGAAGAAGATTATGAGGATGTCTTCCAGACCGAAATGGACATTCATCGCACATTTTACTGAGTGGCGAACTTGATGTCCCCATGATGCGGGAAGGTCCGCCGGACGAGGAAAAGACGTATCAGCTGAGGACGGTGGAGTTGAGGGTGTTCGACAACGTGGCTTTCGGTCTCATGATGGATCTGGAAGTGATGCACGACGTGGGGAGATTCTGCTCCCCCGATGACCCCTTCACCACCACGGCCGTCTACACTGGGAACCACATTCTGAACCTTCTTGCCGCCGGCAAACAATTGTACGTACTGGGTTCTTTTCTTCTCGGTAACTCGTATGTTTCGCATAGGTTAGAAGGAGAGGCTCTAAGATTGATGGATGGATCAACGACCGGGTAGGCGTGTGCATTCTTGACTGAGCTGGACTAACCCAGGCTGTCAGAGTGATTTTCCTTCCTGGCCTACTGAAGAATAACAACGGAGGAGTATATGAACTTGACTTATGTCTTTTTAAGATCTCTCTGAGCCACCATTATATTTCAATGGAAGATGGACCTCGTTCGCGTTGTCGTTGCTTATTTCTCGAGCTGAGAAGCTCGCCTGTCTCCATCTCGACAGGAAGTATTCTAATTGAGAGCGCTGGATATGGCATTTTCGAGGGAATGAGGATGTGCCAAGGGCAAATTAATATTCTACTCGAGGGTCACCGCGCTGTCAACACGGGATAACCGCGGTTATACTGTATGATCTATTCCGACTTTGCATGGAGAGGAATTGTGCAAAGCGCGCGCGCCCTTTCTCTCCGCTGGGAGAGAGTTCAAACACGGAGCGCTGACAAATCCTAGAAAAGCGACGGCGTACGAATAGGTAGCGGTAGATGTGGCGGTCACGTAGGAGATCATGATCATTCTCCCTGGTCTCGTAGCAACCGGAGCCTCAGAAGGTTTCCTTCATAAAAAGGATAGAAGCTACTTGTCGACTGTCGCCGCAGTTCCAGGGGTGCTCTTGCCGGCTTTTGCAGAGATGCCGTTGCGTTCGGGAAGGAGTTCTTCGCGCAGGAGAGTTCCGGATCGGGCCACACTGCGATTGGGATCGGAAATTGCCACATCGACTCCGCCTGGCTCTGGCCAGTCCGAGAGACGATCCGGAAATGCGCCCGATCCTGGTCCACCTCCATCCGGCTCATGGAGGAATTCCCTCATTACGTTTTCGCTTGCTCCCAGGTATTTACCGAGTTATATCTCGACCCCAACCACTTTTTATCAGCCATAGGTGACGGGAGATCTTTAAAGTTGCTTTTAAGGGATGGCTTATTTCGCTCGATCTCTTCTCATTGTACCATGCACCTTTAACACCCGAATTTCACTAAATTATATGCTGCTATGAGTTGAACTTTTGGAGAAAACAAAACACGTTTCTTCTGCTGAACCTTCATAGTGCTAAAAATTGTATGATAATTCTATGAACGAAGCCTATGGTGAGCACCTGTAAAGAGTGTATGAGTATGCAGACATATTAGCTTGCGGAGCGAGGAACAACGAAAGTATACCTATCGAATGTCTGTATTTATTCAAAATGTGCGTGAAGGGATATTCGAATCGAGAGCCATGTGTCAGGAGCAAGATCCCAGTTGGAAGCTTTTCTTCCTGTAGGCTCAGCAATTGGAATGGGTTCAAGACTACTACCCGAGTCTGTTCGAGGAGATCCGCAAGTTCGCGGCGGAGGGGAGGTTCGTGCCCGTGGGGGGGGCCTGGGTGGAAATGGATGGGAATATCCCCTCGGGGGAGGCCTTCATTCGACACTTCCTTCTTGGGCAGCGGTTCTTCCTCAAAGAATTCGGCTTCAAGTGCCAAGAGTTCTGGCTCCCGGACACCTTCGGTTATTCTGCTCAGATCCCTCAGATCCTCAAGGTATTCTCACTGACATTAACAAAATTGTATCTACGTTTACGAAATAGATTTTTTTTAAAATACGATGCTGATTTCAAAGAAAGGATAGGAAAGTACAAAATGCAGGATATGTATATCGTGAATACGTAAGTCAAGAGTCAGGACCAATGCATGTGCCATCAAATGCTGTAAAGTTGGCAAGGTAAAAGAATGATTTATAAGAATTTTGGAACGTATTGCAAATGCCTTTGCCTTCCCTTGCCAAGGATCGAACTTGTATGAGTGCTTCTTTCGACAACAATACAGGAAGGAAGAGACAGAAGAGTAAACCTTTTCAATAATTGTGATCGAGAAATATTGCAGAAATGGAGCACAAAGGATTGAGTAATATATACTACAATCTCTTCTCATTGGTTTTCTTGCATAAATTTTACATCATCCAAACATTCCATTTCTTATTCGCAAAATTTAATAATTTTTTTTTGCCTTCGTATTCATTGAGGGTCATATGGGGGGGGGGGGGGGGGGGGGGGGGAAGGAGGG